TTAATTGTTGTTGCCTTTGTGTAAAATAGTTTTAACATTTCTATGGAAGTTATTAATCATTGACAGCTGTTTTGGAGGTGTTATTTTCCCGCTTTCCATTCAAATGAATGCAAATAAATACTTTCCGCTAGCTTAACATTAATTCTCAGAACGGAACAATATACGTGAATTTTCTAAATTGTAGAGCAATATCATTTGAGCAATAAATGGCAAGCGTGTTGTAATGCATAAAATATTGAAATATTTACAATTTTAAATGGCATATTATTTTAACTGTAACTTAATCTGATTCGATTTTCACCAAGTTAAAAGAGGTATTTATATGACTTATATGGAAGCTTCCAATCTGAACTTTATTCTAATCTAAAACTCAACTCAACATTGAAAGTTTTTTCAAGTTCCTAAAGCATACATACGGAAACTAAATCCAAATCTTGACAATTTCTGTCAAAGGTATATCTGAACTGTATCTGATATCTTGTATCCAATATCATCGTTATGTACATTTTCGCCTATATACTAGTACATGCGGATAGACGCTATTGTGACGATTTAAGCCACATTTACTAAGGGAATTGCTTAAAATTCGTTATTTGGATCTATTAATAAGTCTATATGGAGTCACTCCTCTCTATAGCCCCATGTAGCGGTTCCTTCAGGAATTCAGGACATTTATGGTCTTAGTCATACTTCTCAAAGAAAATGTAACAAAAACACTTTCTACATAAGTCCAATTTTTATAGTCTCCTTAAATCCATACCATCAGATATTCGGTAATTCGTTTTAATACTGTTATTTATAGATCCGAATTTGTAGGTACCGTAGATAGAGGTGGCATAACATTGTCCATAAAAGTGTATCTCTATATCCCCCTTATATCGAATTTAGTATTTAAAATTCGCAATATTACAAACCTCTGTTTCCAAAAATTTCCCATGCTCTTTAATAACCCCAGGTCTCTTTGAACCAAATTCATTCCAGACTCCAGAATACTTGGAGTCGATCTAGAGTGTTCGTCCGTTTGTCTGTCTGGCTGGGAGTATCCGATTAGACCCTAAATAATTATAATTATCATAATTAGACCGAGTTCGGAGATGGACAATATCGGCCTACTTATTCTAGTACCTTCCCACGAGGGGTCAAAATTTTGAATAATTGTAATTCTTATAAATTGTGAAATAAGACTCCGATTGTCTTTAAATTTCGCACTTTTCAATATTTTTACTAACACAAGGTCTGCTATGGCCCACTCTCTTTGGTACATCTTCCACAAAGGGTTAATGTTTCAAATGGACCAAAATGCTCATAAAATGCAAAATAAGTATCCGTTTCTCTCCAAAATTCACACAACGCAATATTTTCACTAACGCCAAATCTGGTGTGGTCAAATCTGGACAAAGGGTCAAAATTTTCAATACTTACATCTCTCATAACATGAGAAACAAAGCAACGATTCTTTTCAAACTTTATGTATCAAAATATTTCCCCCAAACAAAGATCTGATGTGAATATGAAATTGAAATTTATCAGCAAACTCCTTCCAATATCTCCCATCAAAAGTGGTCAAAATTTTGAAAACCTTCGAGTATTTCGATATTTCTAGCAACCGTAGATCAAATGTAAATAAGGAATATGTCGGTACCTTCTTGTACATTTCATACCATACAACACTACAATTTGCTGTAAAGTTTCTACAAATGAAGATTCTCTATGGAACATTATTTGAACATTTAAATGCATCTATATGACTCCCCGTGCCTCCAATAATTGGATATATTCGTCAACAAAATCAGCATAAATTTTAAGGTAAGAAGTGCAACTTTCATGTATTTTTGATTTATTTAATTTTGGTATTTCTTATACCCTCCACGATACCACCAAAGTATGGAGGGTGTATTAAGTTCATCATTCCGTTTGTAACTCATCGAAATACTAATTTTAGACACAATAAAGTACATATATTATGGATCAACGTAAAATTCTAAGACGACTTAGCCCTTTCCGTCCGTCTGTTGTAATAAAGCTAGAGTCAAAACGAATTAAGATAGATCTGTCTTTTGTCTGCAGGCAAGTCTAGCTGGAAGCTGGGCTATGTCGGTCTGCGATATCGTACAGCCTCCATATAACGGTACTCCCCGATGTTCGGTATTTTGATGATTTTAGCCACATTTTCCAACGGAATTGTCTGAAAATAACACAAGGATTTTCTTACGGGTACTTCATCCCGTGCAAAAGAATTATCTATATAGGTCCACGATATCGTATATCCCCCAAAACGGTACCCACCGATGTTGAATGCGATTTTAGCGACATTATTTAACGCAATTATTTCAAATTTCATATTTAAAGTTCATAGTGGGTGACAAAAAATTTTGTATGCAGATCCACGTCTTCGTATAGCCCCCAATATAATGGTACCTCCCGATATTCGGTATTTTGATGATTTCAGAAACGTTATTCACCGGAATCGTTTAAAATTTAATATTGGAAGTTCGTAATGGATACTACAGCCTGTGATAGAAAATTGTCTGTACAAGTCTACGCCTTCGTATAGCCTTCATATAACGTACCTCTCAATATTCATTATTTTGATTATTTTAGCGACAGTATTCACGGAAGTTGTTTCAAATTTGGTGTTTGAAGTTCTTAATGAATACTACAGCTTATGACAGAAAATTGTCTACGCAGGTATAGGTCGGAATTGTTTCAAATTTGGTATTAGAAGTTCGTAATGGGAACTACAGTCTATGACAGTAAATTGTCTGTGCAGGTCCTCGTCTTTGAATAGCCTCCATATAAATGTACCTCCCTATATTGGGTATTTTGATGATTTTAGCGACATTATTTACCGGAATTGTTTCAAAAGTGGTATTTGAAGTTCGTAATGAATACTACAGTCTATGATAGGAAATTGTCTATGCAGGTCTAAGTCTTCGTATAGGCCCCATATAACGGTTTTCAATTAAGTGGTAGTTTTCGGTTTTTTTGAAATGTTTCCATTTCCTTCGAAATGGTGAAATATTATATTAATATTTTGGCCCGACCGAACATAGCTGCTTTTTATTCATTTATTATTATCAGTTTTTTATTTTTTTTTTTTTTAAATTTCAAAATTCCTTCCGGTGGAGGGTATTCAAAGTTCAACCCGGTCGAACGTATTGCTTTTTTACTTATTTTAATAAAAGTTATGGTCTATTTTACCCGGTAAATAATTTTCGATGACCAAACGGGCTCCTGGCCAGCCCTGAACTCTAGGACGATACTCAATTCAGACCCGATTGGTCTGTAATTGTAAAATCAAATAATCAAAAAATCAGTAATTTTTTTTTGTTTTCGGTCCCTTTATACCTCTAAATATTATGCGATCATCTTCAAAGACACTAGACTTCAATTTTGACCCTAGCTTCACCTCCATGCTAAATTTCGTGAGGATTGGATAATAATTGCGACCTGTAGCGTGATTAAAAATTAATATGGACAGGCGGACCCACATATGTGGCTCGACTCACCATGGCGAGATAGGAAGATCCATATGTAGTTTCCTATGACGGAGACCAATATTTCGAGGCATTACAAATTTGTTGGCCCTTTCAAACTTATAATAATATTCCCAACACATGGCGTTGTAGGGTATGAAAACTAGTTTTCATCGAAATTAGTTCGATATCCAATATGAGAATTTAGCTCCAAATATTAGGCATTATTTGCGTCGATATTCTTAGGAATGATTCACAACTTCCACGGATTTTATTCGAATTCTTGTTAAATATTTATAAGACATAAATATTTCCACAGGGAATCTTTCCTTTATTTTATTTGAATGACTCTTGAAAATCTGTCAAAACATTTAATAATCACACAACATAATTGCTGATTCTCTATTATATTTTTCATCGAATTCCTTGTCTCTTTTATTTTTTTTTTTATTATTGCCAACATTGACTCAGCTTTAATAATATTTCAAGATTAGAAATCTTAATTATTCATAAAATCCCACTACAGGTTTTTGAAACGACTTTGCGGAGGATAATCTGGTTTCGAGACGAAAAAAAAAAAACACACAAACAACACTGTCACAAATTCTTATCAAAAATTTGTCTATTTTATAAATGTGCGACTATCTATAAAAAGTCATAAAAATGTTGTTTCGTTTTTTATTTTTTTTCTATATTTTTTATGTTTTTTGGATTTTCTTTTGTTTCGTAGCTACAAGATTTATTAGTTGCCAAAAAAAAAACCTAAGACATAAAACAATAACAGAAATAAGCGCTTTTTAACACATAGCCATTGTGGCACCAAACACCACCGAAAACCAGGAACCGGTTAGCCACTTGGTAAGTGTGTAAACACTGAAGTGTGTTGTTGTGACTTAAAATATGTTTGCCGCCTTAAGGGTTGTTTTGCCAATAGGAGACCCGTTTAGCTGCTGCCGCTGCTGCTGCTCATCTTTTGACAGATTTATGACAACAATTGGAAGGGAAATAAAGACCAAAACAAATGTCCCGGCCTTTCTTGAAATGCTCACACGCAATAAAGTCATATAGCTATTAGAAGCACGTACCAACATTCATAATTGTGCCACCCCGCCTTGAGCCGTCCAGCTACTTAGCGCAAACAAACTATATAAGGCTCGAAAGAGTGCATGGAATCTAATTGGAATGGCGGAGCTGGCCGTTGTCTATTCATTAGTATTTATGGTAAGTGCATGAATGACACCTAGACCGTGTTTGGTTGGACATAATGACAGTAGACGATGTTGAAAAGAGAAATAAAGTTGTTGTGTTCGGAACAGAAGGCCAAAACATTGCGAGGTAATTTTGAGCGGCATTAACACGATCAATCGATTTTTTATGGTTTATTTATGAATATTTAACAGCTGATTAACACATAGTTCTCAACACCAGGTGAGAGGGAGAATGTGTTTTCATTCTCCCTCCCCTCTCCCCTCATTTATGGCAATTAAGGGTTAATTACCCCCTGCCAACAAGGGTTAAACTTACCTTTGGTCTGTCTCTGGTTTAAAGCAAAAGCATTGGCAAACTTCTTTTGTTTGTATTTTGAAAAAGGGTGCAAAGGTCTGCCAGTTAATCCGTCGTTTAGTGTAAATATGCCTTGGGGTAACCCTAAGCTATTGAAATTAACTTTTCAAGCAACAGAAAACCGAAATTTGACATATGCAAATTTAAATTGCAAACACTTGAGGTGATTGGTCGGTCACGTAGGATAAACAGAATTTGTTGGCAAACAAACCGGTTAATACGAAACTTGGTGAGCTTGGCGTCAAATTGGTTGCGCGTTTCTTTACGGAGAGAGGCAGAGGTATTTAGAGGTCCAACAAAAAGGGTTTTCGACATGAATTTGCAAAAATTTCTTGGATTTTCTTTAAACCACGCAAAGTTTTTTTCTTCTCACAAACTTCGTTAGCACTTCACTTTTTTCGGAACTTTGTTTTGCACTTATTTTTTTAATACTTTTCACTTGTACTTCTTTTTCGCACACACACGCACACAGCAGACAAATTTTTGCTCCAAATTCTTTGAGAGGCTCGTGCTTTTTGTTGTTGCTGTTGTTATATTATTACTGGTCGTTGGCGTCGTATTTGTCGTTCTCGTCGTCGTCGTCTTTGTCGACTTTTTTCGATTATTTAACCCCAAAAATATATGTATGTGAACACTGTATAACTTTGACATTAAGGCGTCAACGCGTTTTAAATTTTAAAACCTTAGGACTTCGATTTTTTTGCAAATCATTTATTAGGTGGACGCGTTATTTAGCTGACCAAAAAAAAAACGACACATATTCCTATACGCCGCATTCGCGTTTCACGCAGCACACGGGCACTTTAGATGCAATAGTTTATACACTACACGTTTGACACGTCCAAACACGTTAACGTTCTCGTCTCAACTACAGACTCATATGGGCTTATGCCTTTCGAACGTGTGGCCACACATTTACAGAGCATAAAAACGAAAAAGAGAAAAAAAACCGAGAGAAACGACGAGAGCGCCACACATCAAACAAATCTAGCAGATATTTGAAGGAAAAATTATTGTAGCCTAACTGCCATGGTATTTCGAAATGAAAACAATCTCAGAGATACAGAGAGAGCAAAACAATTTCAAGTGAGAGAACGCACAAAACAAATCCATAAGATACATTCAAAAGGTGGATGGATACTTGTGTTGTGTGTGTGTGTTTCCGCTCTGTCATAGATACATTGGTTGCACCCATTCGGTGGCAAAACTCTTATACGTATCTAATAGATACTTTTCCCTATGACTTATGGTAAATGGTTTGTGTCCGCACTAAATAAGAGAAGGTTTCTTTGTTTTTATAAGCATAATTGGAGGTATTGAAAATAAGAGAACATTAATTTTGAGATAAACTGACTGGCTTTCATCAGTCAATACCTATTCAATTCCATGGTGAAAATACATTTTTTAGCGGAGTGTAAATGTATTTTCCTGGTTTTAAATAGACCCAGGAATAGAAATGGACCAAACCTTTCAAATTAAGTTTGTCATTCCGTTCCCATTCCCACAAAGCATATATATTCTTGATAAGCATAAAATTCTATGTCGATTTATCGATGTCCGTCCGTCTGTGGAAATCACTCTAGCTTCCGAACGAATTGGCGTAGATTGATGAAATTCTATTTAAATGTACGTCATGTCTGCAGAACTTTTGGTATTCAAAATGGTCCACGTAGGTCCATATTTTGGTATAGCCCCCATATAACGGTACCTCCCGATATTTGGTATTTTGATGTTTTTAGCGAGACTGTTCATCAGAATTGTTTCAAATTTGGTATTTGAAGTTCGTAATGGATACTACAGCCTAAGACAGAAAATTGTCTGTGCAGGTCCACGTCTTTGTAGGGCCCCCATATAACGGTACCTCCCGATATTCGGTATTTTAATGATTTTAGGGACATTTTTCACCGGAATTGTTTCAAATTTGGTAGTTGAAGTTCAAAATGGATGCTACCGTCTAAGACAGAAAATTTTCTGAGCAGGTTCACGTCTTCGTATGGCACCCATATAACGGTATCTCCCGATATTCGGTATTTTAATAATTTTAGCGACATTATTCACCGGAATTGTTTCAAATTTTGTATTTGAAGTTCGTAATGGGAACTACAGTCTGTGACAGAAAATTGTATATGCAGGTCGAGGTCTTCGTGTAGGCCCCATATATCAGTACCTCCCTACATTTTGACGATTTTAGGTACAATACTCACCGAAATTGTTTGGAGTATTTTTGAAAGCAAGGTTGGCACTAAAAAATACCAAAGTGTCGATCACCTCAAGCAAGCGCTTCGCAGGGAATGGGCCAAAATACCGCAGATCATATCTTCAACCCATAAATATCTTCAACCGATGTCGGGTTAATTGTGCAACTAATAGCCAACATCAGTCCTGAATTTTGGTACATCGACCGAATTCAGTTTAGAAGCAAGTATATCAAATTTTGGTGAAAATCGGTTCATATATAGCTATAGCTCCCATATATACGTTTTATCTGATTTGGTGTTTAAGTCCCTTACATTCGTAATATGCATTTGACAACAATGATATTTGGTACCAGATATCTTATAGAGCTCAGAAATACCTTTGCCAAATTTTATCGAGAACGGCTAAGACTTGGATGTAGCTCCCATATATATCCTTAATCCGACTTCAGGTACTCTGGCTTCTCTTCAGTTGTTGTCCGACTTCAGGTTTATTGTGCAAATAATGGCTAATATCAGCAGACCAAATGGAGTGAATTCCGGGGCGTATGTCTTCATGTTGTGGAACTCGGCTCCGATATATGATTTTTTAAAAAATAATTCTTCTCGAAGTGAAACCAAGCGCAAATGCACTGTGAAATTTTGTATAAAAGAATAAAATGTTTCCGTCAAATTTAGTGAAAACAAAACTGTAACTGCTCTAAAGCCAAATGTTGATAGGCGGTATGTTCTATTTCATACCACCTAAATATGCATAGTGGTGTGGGGTATCATGTAGTCGGTCCATAGACAAATGAAAATATAGACAACGAAATGCTCTCACCGTTCATCTTCGAAAAAAAACGGATCAGCAGATGTCGTCTATATCGTTTCAGGGGTTTGAGTGGGAATATTGAAGTCACTCAATTCAAAAATGTTAAAAATAACAAAAACTGTAGGATATTTGTCAGTTAAAAATTATTTCAGAATAAAAGAAATGTGAAAATTACGTGATGACATCGAAAAATATGGGAATATTCCAGTGAAATTCTTGAAAAACGATAAAATGTGTTTTTGAAGTCGAGTGGCTTAAACGCGTAAATCAGCATGTTGACTATGCAAAACATGATGAGAGCCTCCTGGAAAAAAGACAAAACTAAATTTTCGTTGTCTATATCTTTATTTGTCTATGGTTGGTCTCGCCCGACTTTTGACTTTTCCTTACGGGTTTTTATTTAAGTCTCTCAGACCCCTAAAATGCTTTCCACCACAAAAAATACCTCAGCTAAATTTAGCAGAGATCGTTTCAGATTTGGATATAGCTGCCATGTATTTGTTCATCCGATTTATTGTGTCAAATTCATTCGAAAACGATCATAAATTCTCTACATAAAAACGTTTATTGGTTATGGGTACCTCTACTAAATATGCAAAGTGGTGTATGGTATCATAAAGACATCTCCACCCGACTTTGGTCTTTCCCTTACTAATTTACTTTATTAAATATTATAAAAAATTATAAAAAATTCGACTAAATTTTAGATTTAATGTTTCACAAGAGTTTTCTCTTATTAAAAATATTCATCTATCTCTATTTACATTTTTCCAAACATGAATACTCTTCGAAAATTCACCAATCAGATAAATCATGAATGCTCTCTTTTGTTTTAATTTCTTTGTAATTCACACAACTCACGCTAGAGGTCATTGTGGTGGAGATGAATTTAAAAGATACTTTTCGAAGATTTTAAACAGCTAAAAGATATTTCTCCCATACAGACAACACACTGAGAGCAGCCAAACAGATAGGGAGAATTGTGCAAACTCTCTTGTTAAATATTCTTACGTTGCTTTCTCTCTGCATTCCGGCATTTGTATCTGAGTATCTCTCTCTACGATAATTGTTTGTTTACATTTCAGCTGTTTGGATTTTTGCACAGACTGCAGCTCTCCCATAGCCATGTTAAGTACTCACGTATCGGATACAATTGTTTGATTTGGACCTGCTGTCTGAAAAAAGGAAAGTGGCAGTTAGTCAATTGCTGTGCCTGGCTGATGCTTGGGCAAAAAGCGGATGAGATGTTTTGCTATGATTCCGTCCTTTTTATGCGAAATAAATATTTTTGCCCATTAACTTTATTATTTTGCAAACTTAACATCATTTTCAAATTTACACACAGCATGCACTCTGGCTGACGGAAGATGTCACACATGTGTCACCAGCAGTCACCATACGTACCAGCGGAAACGATAGCAATTTTTACCAGAATGCATCAACAGATTTTCTCGCTTTTATCACTCGTTTTTTTTTTTCTATCAAAATTGCATTGCAACCCCAATAAGTTTATACCCTTAACTTTAGCTTTGGCTGCACACAGTCCTTTTTTAACACCCACTTGACAATGCTAACGGTATTGTTGAATGGAAGTTGTCCCATCATCTAGTCTCATCCTTCCATTTAGTATTTGTTCGTTGTTTTGTTCCAGAGATTGTTTATTGTTGTTGTTTTTATTATTAAGTGTGGTGTGGAGCTGAAAAGGGAATCTTCTTGGGTTATATGCATTGTCAGATCTGGCGTTCCTTAAATGCCACACATGTGATTGTGTTATGGATGCGATATCATCGTCAGTTCTCTGATTCTGATGCTTTTAATTACTTTCTACGATGTTTGTTTGAAAAATGCTTGAAATGTGTTTTGTTGGCTGTGATTACTTGTTTTTGTTGCCGTTGTTGTTGTCCTCTGGTTTCATATGTTCAAGGAAATCTTTTGTTTTGTTATTAAGAGATCCTTTTGTTTTGGAACTTCCTCCCCTCGCAGCGAAGTGTACTCGTTGCAATGAATGGCATGCCATTCCTGATTTGTCATTTGGAGTGTGTATCCGAGGCACACATGTAATTTTAATTTTTACAATGTTTTTGCGATTCACACTGACACTGAGATAAGACAATATGGACAAAATATCAGATGTCCTTATCAAATTGTAATTAAAGTGAAAATTTATAAAATTCTATTGTTTCGAAGGAAAAGTGGGGTATTTTTGATTTATCGCAGGATGAAAAAAATGTTCATTTAGTAATCTAAGATTCACCATCATTCTAAATATCTTGCTTTATATGTTTTCACTTCATTTTTGCTTTTACAGGGTCTAAGTCTAACTTTCCAGCTTAACTTTACTCCTTCTGACTGTGTTTTAGCTGGATCAAGCAATAAATAATATTTTCCTAAGGGAATTTTAAAATACTTTTCTTGCGGTGAACTTTTAATTTTGTAGTAAGTGGCTCAAAAACTAATTAATAGTAACAATAGCTAAATATTACGACATTTTGTCGCAGTCTTTTTATACCCTCCACCATACATAGTATGGAGGGTATATTAAGCTCGTCATTCCGTTTGTAACTCACCGAAATAATCATTTTAGACCCAGCAAAGTATACATACTCTTGATCAGCGTAATCACACTATCTTTCGAACAAATTGAGGTAGAAGGCTAAAATTTTGCACAAATGGGCCATGTAGGTCCCCATATAACGGTACCCCCCTATATTAGGTCTTTTGATGATTTTAGCGACATTGTTTACTGGAATCGTTTCAAATTTGGTATTTGAAGTTCGTAATGGATACTACAGCCTAAGTCAGATAATGAGCCATGTAGGTCAACGTTTTCATATAGCCCCCATATAACGGTACCCCCCGATATTCGGTATTTTGATGA